TACATTAGTTTTTTGAGAAATCGGAAGTAGCGTAAATTACTACTTCCGGTCAACGGAAATTACTCAAAATTTAACAGAAGGTAGAGAAGTAGATCTTTTACTTACATGTGAAATTTCATTTATCTATCTGAAATAGTACTCAAGTTATAGGCTTTTGAAAAATTCAAAGTAGGAATACTTATATATGAAATTTCATCAACCTAGCTGTAACGGTACTCAAGTTATCGTGTTTACACACGGACAGACAGACAGACACACAGACAGACAGACACACAGACATACGGACAAGATTGCAAAATTATGTTTTTCCGTATCAGTGAGGTGTAAAACGTCGAGATTTGTAAAAATCTCGATTTTTTTTTTTTGCACGATTACAAGACTTTCTCTATACTTCGTATATACGAGAAAGTAAAAATGATCTTTAAAGAACACAAAAAGTCAGTTGATAACTTTACCATGTATGATCTGAAATGCAAGACCTATATATTGGTTATCTGTAGGCTATTTATCAGAATTTTATACTTGTGAATTGAAAAGCTGGGTTTTATACCAACTCTGATTTAAAACACTTTCATTATACTGTAAATATTTTAGCATTTATAATGACAATATATTTAATTTTGATTTTAGACAAAATATTTTTGTAAAACCGAATAGCGTTAAGCTACTTTATTAGATTATTAAGTAATTATAAAGTTGTTTTGATATTCATAATTTAATGTATAGACATATACATATTTATATTAAAATAGTGATTGTTTCCCCTTTTCGCTAGTCTTAATTAATGTCCCAGGAATTATTATGTAATTTTTTTTACAAGGATTACAAAACAGATTATGTTGCGTTCATTGTTTTTGGTTGCAGTGTGTGTATATTTGTTTTTTGTTTAGAGTGATACATTTTTTTTGTTTTGTCAGCCTACATTTTTTGTTTTCTCGGCCTACAATGTGTATGTTTTTTTATTTCTTCAGAGTGCTACTTTCAATTTATTTTACATCATAGCGAAGCAACAACATACAGCTAATGTATATATTTACTAGCCGTCCCGGCCAGGCCCTGCTCTGGCTTCTGTGAAAAACCTTTCTGTTAAGGACCATTACCTGTGTGTTTAGCAATCATTCTAAACCCGGCATTGCCCACCCGAACCACAACCAACCAAAACCAAAACAACAAAACGACAACATAACGCTAACACAATTACAAATACAAACGAAAACAAAAACCTAACAACAAACCCAACCACAACCACAAACACCAATACAAACACAAAGAAAAAACAAACAAAAAAGCAAACGAAAACAAAAACCTAACAACAAACCCAACCACAAACACCAATACCAACACAAAAAAAAACAACGAAAAAGCAAACGAAAACAAACCAAAGCCAAACGCAAAACCAACCAAAAACACAAATACAAACCCAAACACAAACAAAAACGAAAAAAAAAAAGAACAAAAACGAACCAAATCAAAACGAAACCACTAACGCAAACCCACCTAAACACAAAGAAAACACTAACGCGAACATAAACGCCCGGGGCGGAATCACCTGTTTTAGCTTAATAGTACCCCAACTTATTCATAGTCTTTTGCACTCACTCAAACAAACGCGCCTGTTTCAATTTAATGAACAATTATAATACTCCAAGCTTATCCGTAAAATACCTACAACATTTGCACTTGAGCACTCCCCGCTAATTATGTAATTATTTTTTTCCCAACAACGAAACAAAGTAATTAAAAAGTAAATTCTTTTCAACTAATACTAATGCAATGGTTTTATAAAGGGAAGTAATTGTGTTTTGCCTAATTTATCAAAGGGAAGTAAGTGCTATAGAACTAAATAAAGACATAATTAGAATTTTTGTAAAAGATGATATTTTTTTTTAAAACTTGTGTTTAATGAACATGCCGACAATTATTACTATCAGTTTGAAAAATGAAAATTATTTCCCAACACTTTCAACAGTAATTTTTTAACTCATAAATTTAGACTGTGAGCACGGTAAATAGTCTAAAACTTAAATCCATAGAAGTATGTCAACGACAAACACATGAATTTGTACATACAGAACTGAGCTTTATATATTAGATATATATATATATATATATATATATATATATATATATATATATATATATATGTATATATATTAAAAATTAGGCGCCTTTTTTGCTTTTTTCGCTCCCCCTACACTGAAAACCTGCATACGCCTCTGCCCACACACCCCCACACACTCTCACACACGCCACACACTCTCACACACCCCCACAATGCATCTATCACCGTATGACTTATCTACCTTTGCACCAATCCCCCCCCCACACCACTCCCCCACACACTCTCACACACCCCCACAATGCATCTATCAACGTATGACTTATCTACCTTTGCACCAATCCCCCCACACCACTCCCCCCACACACTCTCACACACCCCCCACAATGCATCTATCAACGTATGACTTATCTACCTCTGCACCAATCCACCACACACCCACACACTCCCCAACACACTCTGCATTTATCAACTTATGACTCTAAACGTTGTATATCACTGGTTTTTTTTTATAGCTGTCCATTTGGACACACGCCTATAAATATAATTTACAACAATGAGTTTCTGTCACAAAGGTATAATTAAAGGTAAATTAGGTCAAATTAATTATTTAACTTAATTTTATACCTAATTATGTTTCATCTGAAGTGTTATAGAAATAAAAATTTATAAATGTTTAAAAAATGATATCATTTTTTTTTAGATATGAATTTTAATCTTTATTCTGGTAAAGATATTTTGTTTCATCTAAAGGCATTTCCGATATGCCTTGAAAATATATTTTAAATGAAGTATTTTTCGTATGTAAACATGGGAGAATGGCTTTTAAAATCAAATTTTAACAAAGCAAAGCAGAGGGAAAATTAGGACGGCACAGTCGAATGGAAGAGAATACGGCTGATAACCATAAAATCTCGAGTTCGAATCCGGATCCGAGCCTGTAAACAACCCTGAGTCAACCCAGCTCTAATGGATACCTAACTCACGTTAGGGGAAGTAAGGGCGGCTGAGCATAGTGCTGACCACACTATATCTTCATATAGTCGCAGCAACAGGTGAACTCTGCTTCTCTTGCTTCTGTGACCGTAAGGTTTGAAAGGGAACAAGACAGAAAATTACATCGATCTCTAACTACCTAAGCTACTAAATGAAGTCTATGTTTAAATGTAATAATCTACAGAGGCTGAAGAAACTCCCGCACGAGTAAGTGCACAATTCAATTTGCCCGATGGAAAAACAAGACATGAACTCATCGATCTAACTGATTCAGTCTTAGAGGTAAGAACCAAAACAAATAAAGTATAATTTTAAGGTACGAATTATAGGAAGTTAATATATATATATATATATATATATATATATATATATATATATATATATATATATATATATATATATATATATATATATATATATATATATATATATATATATATACTAGCCTACCCGTCCCATTGAACAAAGACATTGCAAGAATATTTAATTTAATTAAAAACACCGACGACGAATCTTAAATGCCCCCCCCCCCTGAACATACTTGAGTCGTTAAAGCTCATTGATGGTAAACCGAAAAGTCTCGAGTTCGAACCCTCGGGCAGATGAGGCTCGTTAGCTGGGGACAGCCACTCTTCTAGAAGAGACAACTCCAAAATCCTATGAGAGACAACTCCAAAGTCAAACAAAGGCTATGGAAATCGGCTGAAATCGGAGTCAACGGCCTCAATGACGCATAACCAGTTGACACGTATACTTAATTGTGTTTCAGCACTAAAATGAAGAAGAAGAAAATACATATTTACATACACATATATATGACTGGGTTGAATTTTGTTTGTACGCAGGTGAAGAAAAAAATCTACCCAGGTGGTATTGAACGTAAGTTGTATTTTGTGGAAGATGGCAAAGGCCGTGTCCTAATGGACAACGAAGGCAAAATGGGAGATTACATACCACAGGACAACCAAACACGATTTGTGTACCAGTTGGAATAAAATTGTTTCAAATTAAATAGTCCCTTCCTTATTTAAAAAAAAAAAGTTTCATAGTGTTCTTTTATCAGTATCAAAAGTATGTAATAAATATAGTTCATTAGTGAAGAAAAGACGCCTAACTATTTTTAGAAATTTAAAATGAACAGCAGGAGTATTAATAACTGATAACCCAACATTTACTTTTCGAAAACGCCTTTGCAGAGTTATCGATCTTAGCCAAATTAAATTAATATAGCATAAAGTAGGTACGTGCAATGACAATGAATTTAAAAAAAAACTGTATATGTTTACACATAGAGTACATTTTAATAATAAGTATTTAAAAGTAAATTTCATATTGAAATGATAAAGTGATATTTTTTTCAATTGTAAATATTTCATCATTATTTGTAATGTTAATATTTTGAGAAAAAAAATTATTTTAAAAAATAAATCATCATAAAAAGTAAAATTGGGATTATTACAAATTCTTTATTAAGATTGTCTACAACAGTGGTTCCCATGCATGTGACATGATACCCTATGACTTGAATCAGTGTTCCTATATAGACACATCGGAACACTCTATCAGTAAAACAATTTGAGAACACCTTAGGTATTTCTTCAGTATTGTCTTGAACTTCTAAGAACAGTCGGTCTAAAAATTCGATGGTGCTGATTGACGTGAATCCAATCAACAGATGGTTAAAGACAGAGGCGTAGCGAGGGGGGGGGCGGAGGGGTAACATATGTCCCCAGGCGCCGACCGTAGGGGGTGCCAAAATGGGTTGGAAAAACAAATTAAAATGTCATTGTAGCTGCATTTTTGCAATATAAATAATTTGAGGGGGAGATGCAAATAGAAAGTTTGAGGGGGGGGGGGGGGGGAGTGCTAATCGAAATTTCGAAGGGGGAGAGTACAAATCGAAAGTTTGAGGGTGGTACAAATCAAAAGTTTCAGGGGGTGGGGGTGCAAATTGAAAGTTTGTCCCCTGGCATCGGGAAGGGTCGCTACGCCTCTGGTGAAAGATTTTGTTCCACAACTTGGTTCGAGATTATCGTGACCCCAAAATCACGTCACCGAGGTATACTCTGTCGCGTTTCCGGTAGCCTTGACCTCGAACTCCTGCGTCAGACCGCCGTTGTTGTTGTTGTTGTTGGACGAATCTGATTGGTTGACGGACGTGTACTCTGACCGCTTCCGGTCCTTCTCCCACACCGCCACCCTGCGCAGCGGCAGACAGATCAGCCCGCTCAGGGTCAAGGTCACGCCGGCCATGTAAAAAGCTGCGCTGTCGTTGCCGGTAGAATCCGAAAGGGCGCCTAGGAAATAAAAAAATTTTAAAGTCAGTAAATGACGTGTATGACATATATGACGTTATGATATGTATGCATTTATGACATATGCATGTATGATATGTATGAATCGTATGACATGATGATGTATATGACGTTGTGACATGTATGACGTCTATAACGTGTATAATATGTATAACATGTATGACATGTGTGTCGTATATGACATATATGACATGGATGACATGAATTACATGAGATGATGACATTATGAAATATATGCCATGTATAGCATGTATAACATGTATGAAATGTACGACATTTATGAAATGTGTAGCATTTATGTTTTGACGATTCAATGACATATGACGTTTGTGACACGTATGACTTATGACATTTATGACATGAATGTGTTAAACTGACCAGCGAGTGGCGACCCAATAAAAAATGACATGTATTGACATGTATGACATTTATGACATATATGACATTTATTATATTTATTACATTTATTATATTTATAACATGTATGACATTTATGACATGTATGTGTTAAACTGACCAGCGAGGGGTGACCCTATGAAAAATGAATGTGTTCAACTGACCAGCGAGGGGTGACCCTATGAAAAAATGACATGTATGACATGTATGGTATTTATGTTTTGATGATTTGATGACATATGACATGTATGACATGTATGCCGTATGACATTTATGACATGTATGACATGTATGACATGTATGATATGTATGACATGTATGTGTTCAACTGACCAGCAAGCGGCGACCCAATGAAAGATGACATCCCCCTGGCACATGATGACAAAGCCAAAAGCTGTGGTCAGTTTCTCCAGGCCCATCAGCTCCACCATGATGATTGACCGCAGGGACACAAACACAGCTGGGGGGGGGGGGGACATGAAGTCAATTTTACTTTAATCTGCCACATCCGATGTACTTAAACGGCGGTCACTCTTCATAATATAACAGTATCATTAGTTTGTCTTTCAGACATACTGGTCAATCCAGCACTTGAAGTAGAGTTCACTTCTTTTTTTGACCGCGGCAAATAAAGTGATAATGTTGATAGTTCTATGCCCAGCCCTCTTTACTTGCTCAAACCTGACACAAGAACTGAGTGGACTCTGGGATTGTCTACAGATCCGAGCCCAGGATTCGAGACTTTCAGGTTAAAAGTTGCATGATCTAACGTCCTACCACGTTTTACAATTTTTCACCAATCAACGATGCGAAGGGGGCAGGGAGGGGGTATAAATCTAAATGAAACTTACTCTTGATCGAACCAATGCTGTAAGGTATTGCCCATATGAGTTCATAAATAAGCCTTAGTTTTAGAATTACTGCTTGATTAAGATCTTCCACAAATAAACTGGCAACTTAAAATATAACCGCTAATGTTATCAAATTAAGAAGATTAAATTGTTACCAAATGGGGACGCGTGGCCTAAGCGGTAGAACGCTAAGCTGCTAACCCGAAAGTCTCGAGTTCGAATCCGGGTTCAAGTCAATAGAACGTCCCTGAGTCCACCCATTCTGATGGGTAGGCTACCTAACAAATGTTAATGTTAAAGTAAAGGCGGCTGGGCAAAGTGCTGAACACACCTTCCCTTCATATTGCCAAGGTCAAGAAACATAATGAACTCTACTTCATCTGCCCAATGGATCTCTAGGTCGAAATAAGATTCTTTACAGTAACTTTTACTTTAAATTGATATCAAATTAAATTATAAATATTTCTAAAGAAACAAACCTATAGCAGAGCCAAATACAGCCGAGTACACAGCGAGCAGGTGATAGTTTGAAAAAAAATGGAACAAAAATTGTGGCGACACCGCCTAGGATTAAAGCGGCGTTGTTGATGATGAGACAATCTGCCCAAGGCTGGAATAGAAGGGAAACAATCAATTACAGTAGGGATGGTAACATTTTGTAATAGAAGGGGAAACAATCAATTAAGTTGTGGGGGATACGTCTTTGGAATATAAATTAATTTCGGGGATATTTGACAGTGGCGTAGGGAGGTCGGGTGTCACGGGTGCGGCACTTAATGAAGTCACCCCCCCCAGAGGCCCCTCCCGGCGCCCGGGGACAAACTTTCAATTTTTTATTTGTACCCCCCCCCCCATCAAACTTTCGATTTGCACCCCCTCCCACCCTTTTCGGTATTTGTCAAATTTGCTCTTAAAAGACTTTGTAACACTCGAATGAATCACTTAATTAAGTGGAATTATCATTTTTCTCTATATATTTTACTATTTTTTGCCTTGGTGTCACCCCCCCCCCCCCCCTAAATGGTGTCACCCGGTGCGGTCCTCACACAGCCCCCCTCGCTACGCCATTGATATTTGAAACATTTGATGTTTCAGACATTAGGTCATGCGTAGGAGCTCTCTCATGTAAGTTTTTTTTAAGTGGTGCCATTGACCGCTAAAGGTACACACTACGGTCCCAATGAATGTATTCTATGAGCGCCCATAGCGTTCGTATCAGTAAAACTGTTGTATATTTCTTTAGTAGCCAATCGGTTTCAAGGTCGATGAGGTAAAGGTCACTCGGTCAGCAGTCAATAGGTTTCAAGGTTGATGGGGTAAATGCTAAGGTCACTTGGTCAGTAGATAATGGGTTTCAAGGTCGATTGGGTAAAGGCCAAGGTCACGTGGTCAGTACCTATTGGTTTAAGGTCGAGGAGGTAAAAGCTAAGGTCACCTGGTCAGTGGCCAATCGGTTTCAAGGTCATTGGGGTAAAAGCTAAGGTCACTTGGTCAGTAGATAATGGGTTTCAAGGTCATTGGGGTAATGGGTTTCAAGGTCGATTGGGTAAAGGCCAAGGTCACGTGGTCAGTAGCCAATCGGTTTCAAGGTCAAGGAGGTAAAGACTAAGCTCACCTGGTCAGAGATGAACCCCACCGCTACCCTCCCCACCGTGTTGGTGATGCCGATGATGGAGATGAGGAAGGCGGCGCTCTGGGTGTCCATACCGAGGTTGACGGCTTGGGAGGGCATGTAGATGAAAGGGACGAAGAAACCTGGGGATAGAGGAAAGGGTAGATGAAAGGTAAAAAACCTGGGAATAGAGGAAGGTTTCGAAGAAAGGTATGAAGAAACCTAGGGATAAAGGAAGGGTTCGAAGAAAGGTATGAAGAAACCTAGGGATAGAGGAAAGGGTAGATGAAACGTATGAAGAAAACTAGGGATAGAGGAAGGGGTAGATGAAAGGTATGAAGAAACCTAGGGATCAGTGTTTCTTCCAGACTTTTTTCTCCGGGGGGGGGCACTTGAAATTTTCGGGGAGGGCGGTAAACTTTCTTCGGGGGGGCGGACACTGTTAAAAGTATATATTTTCTATATAAATTATATAAATTTCATTTCGTTCGGGGGGGGCGGTAAAAAATTTTCGGGGGGGCTTCGCCCCCCCCCCCCCCCCCGAAGGGATGCCTGGAAGAAACTCTGCTAGGGATAGAGGAAAGGGTAGATGAAAGGTATGAAGAAAACTAGGGATAGAGGAAGGGGTAGATGAAAGGGACGAAGAAACCTGGGAATAGAGGAAAGGGTAGATGAAAGGGACGAAGAAACCTAGGGATAGAGGAAAGGGTAGATGAAAGGTACGAAGAAACCTGGGGATAGAGGAAGAGGTAGATGAAAGGTACGAAGAAACCTGGGAATAGAGGAAGAGATAGATGAAAGGTACGAAAAAACCTAGGGATAGAGGAAGAGGTCGATGAAAGGCACAAACATACCAAGGAATAGAATAAAGGGTAGATGAAAGGTACGATGAAACCTAGGAATAGATGAAGGGGTAGATAAAGGGCAAACTTAAGAGGAATAGAGAAAGTGGTAGATGAACATGGCACAAACATACCAAGGAAAAGACTAACGGGTAGATGAAAGATACGAAGAAACCTGAGAAGTAGAGGAAGGGTTCGATGAAAGGTATGAAGAAACCTAGGGATAGAGGAAGAGGTAAATGAAAGGTATGAAGAAACCTGGGATAGAGGAAGAGGTAAATGAAAGGTACGAAGAAACCTAGGAGAGGAGGAAAGGGTAGATGAAAAGTACGAAGAAACCTGGGAATAAAGGAAAGGGTAGATAAAAGGTACGAAGAAACCTGATAATGGAAGATAGAGTAGATGAAAGACACAAATAAACTTAGGAAGAGAGGAAGGGTTAGATGAAAACCACAAGGCACCTAAGGGAAGAAGAATGGCATATACATGACACACTGAAAACCAGACAATGAAGAGCAAGAGTTTGCAGCTAGCCTTATTTGTTACCAAAAGATTCCTAAATTCACATTTATTTCCTAAATCTTGCAAGAAAAATATACACATATGCGCATTTTCACAAGTATATTGTAAAGACTGAAAAGAATTTCGAATACACAAATAGTTATTCGAAAAACTGAAATAATCAAATATAGCAGTACTTAGTGGAAAGACTGAAAAGACTCGAATACACACATAGTAATTTAGAAGACATAGTGCACCGAATGTAGCAGTTCTTTGTGTAACAACAGAAAGTATCGAATACATAATTATAAAATTCTAAAGACATAAAGCATCGAATATATCAGTATTAATTGAAAAACAGAAAATACTCGAATACAGGACACCTACAACCAGTGGCGTAGCGAGGTCGGGTGTCACCCGGTGCGGCACTTAATGGTGTCACGCCCCAGAGGCGTAGCGACCCTTCCCGGGGACAAACTTTCAAATTTTCGATTTGCACCCCCCCCCCCCTCAAACTTTCGATTTGCACCCCCCCCTCAAGTTTTTCTCTATATATTTTGCTATTTTTTGCCTTGGTGTCACCCCCCTAAATGGTGTCACCCGGTGCGGTCCGCACCCCCGCCCCCCCCCCCCTCGCTACGCCTCTGCCTACAACGCTACTGATTCGCAACGTCAGCCAGGAAACAACTAGCACCTTACCCGTCATGCACAGGAAACAGGAAGCTCCGTAGATGAGGAACGTGGGACTCGTCAACAGGGAAATGTCGAACCCGCCCTTGAAGGTCTTGAGAAAAGTCTGGAACGACGAGAGCTGGGACTCGGTCGTCTGCTCCGGGACCTGCATCTTCTCACGGAACTCTTCCATCGACCCCAGCTCCCTGGGTTAAAGGTGAGGAGGTCAGTAGGGGTAAGAGGTCAAGTTTAGGTATTAAAGAGGGACGTTCTTGTAAGCTTCTTAGTGGTTCGTCCATAAATAATATTAAATACGCAAAGAGGTAACATGTTAGTGTGTATGCGTGTGTGTGTGTGTGTGGGGGGGGGGGGTGGTACTAAATGTGGACTACTGTAAAGGGAAAGAAGTTGGGTGGAAGAGTGTGGTGGTCTACTGTTCCCAATGGTGGGGACGGAGTTATGGGCCCGTGACAGAAAATACATTTTTTAAAGAAATAATAAACGTGTTTTGTTATAATCTATTTTAAAAACGCGTGATTATTTTTAAGAATGTTTCTATAATGCACATTTCATCTATTTATTCTATTTATCGGCTCAGTCAGTGTTTCTTTCAGCCCCCTCGCCCCCCCCCCCCCACGAACAAAATGGAACTTGTATAGAAAATATATTATTTTACCAGTGTCCATCCCACATGCCACCCCCTCCCCCACCCTCCAGCCCGGAAGATTTAGTGCACCCCCTCCCCCACTGAAAGTTTCAAGTGCCTCTGAAAGAAACACTGAGCTCAATGCTTACGTAAGAGTGCATATGCCAAATCTCAACCAATAGGATTCTTCTATTTTGTTTTCGCGCAAAAATAATTAACTGACTGATATTCCGAGGTGCCGGAAAACTTTAAAACTAATCCTAAAGGTCGGGAATAGAAAACAAAATTACTGGAATTCCTTCAGACGCCATAAACTTCCGCTGTAGAAGACATCCTTCCTGGCCAATGGGGACTGGTCAGGTTTTTTCGGCGGTGTTTTCTTCCTGTTGAATAACTGAAAATCCTGGCTATATGCCAGGCGGGCTAGCTCTGCGTTGTTGGTGTATTTGTCTTTATCAGAGGTCAAGGTTGATGGGTACAAGGTCAGTGACCTGAAATTTGAGTAGAATAAATTGTGTGTGATATGACGGTCACTATTGCCCGACGTGCCAGATATGATAGATGACAGATAGACATGTCAGGTATAAACAATTGACACTAGTAAATAAGTACATAGCCGAGAACATATACGGTTTGATTTGATATTATGTACTTGAAAAAAAAGAGTGGTGAAAAGGACGGAATATCGAGGGCGACATAGTATACTGAAATATAGATGACCACGCACTATATTGAAATATAGAGGGCGACACACTACACTGAAATATCAAGGGCGACACACTTCACTGAAATATGGAGGGCGACACACTACACTGCAATATGGAGGGCGACACACTACACTGAAATATCGAGGGCGGCACACTACACTGCAATATGGAGGGCGACACACTACACTGAAATATCGAGGGCGGCACACTACACTGCAATATGGAGGGCGACACACTATACTGAAATATGGAGGGCGACACACTACACTGAAATATCGAGGGCGGCACACTTCACTGAAATATGGAGGGCGACACACTACACTGCAATATGGAGGGCGACACACTATACTGAAATATAGAGGGAGACACTTCACTGAAATATCGAGGGCGACACACTATACTGAAATATGGAGGGCGACACACTACACTGAAATATCGAGGGCGGCACACTTCACTGAAATATGGAGGGCGACACACTACACTGCAATATGGAGGGCGACACACTATACTGAAATATCGAAGGCGACACACTATACTGAAATATCGAGGGCGACACACTATACTGAAATATAGAGGGCGACACACTATACTGAAAAATGGAGGGCGACACACTATACTGAAATATCGAGGGCGACACACTATACTGAAATATCGAAGGCGACACACTATACTGAAATATCGAGTGCGACACACTATACTGAAATATCGAAGGCGACACACTATACTGAAATATCGAGGGAGACACAATATACTGAAATATAGAGGACGACGCACTATATTGAAATATAGAGGGCGACACACTGTACTGAAATATCGAGGGCGACACACTACACTGAAATATCGAGGGCGACACACTACACTGAAATATCGAGGGCGAAAAAATATACTGAAATATCGAGGGCGACACACTATACTGAAATATAGAGGGCGACACACTATACTGAAAAATGGAGGGCGACACACTATACTGAAATATGGAGGGCGACACACTATACTGAAATATAGAGGGCGACACACTATACTGAAAAATGGAGGGCGACACACTATACTGAAATATCGAGGGCGACACACTACACTGAAATATGGAGGGCGACACACTATACTGAAATATCGAAGGCGACACACTATACTGAAATATCGAGTGCGACACACTATACTGAAATATCGAAGGCGACACACTATACTGAAATATCGAAGGCGACACACTATACTGAAATATCGAGGGCGACACACTATACTGAAATATGGAGGGCGACACACTGTACTGAAAAATCGAGTTCGACACACTACACTGAAATATCGAGGGCGACACACTACACTGAAATATCGAGGGAGACAAACTATACTAAAATATGGAGGGCGACACACTGTACTGAGTAATGGAGAGTGACACTGATAGACACAGTGTGATAGCCGTTCTAAGGTACAAGGTCTACAGTCATGTCTGACATAGAAGTCTGTCATAGTTGTCTGTCATAGTTGTCTGTCATAGTTGTCTGTCATAGTTGTCTGTCATAGTTGTCTGTCATTGTTGTCTGTCATTGTTGTCTGTCAATGATGTCTGAAATAACTCACTGTCGTTGCTATCTGACATAGTTATTTTTTTTTTAAATTGTCTGATATTGCTAATCTATATATATAATTCTCTTCTGGGAGCCGCTAGAAAACAAGCTGCAAACGCGCCTAGAAAACAAGCTGTAAACGCGCTCCCTACCTCCCCACCCCTACCCTACATGGTTTTAGTGAGCTGTGTTCACTCTAAATGTTTACAAGCAGAGCCAACGATTTTAAACGTAGGGGGGGGGGGGGGGTTATGGTCCTTAACGAGCTACTTATAGTGTTTTAAAGAAATATTTTCAGTGGCAGCGTTGGTACTGTCGAATTCACAAATTTTGAATTACTGAAAAGTAGAAAAAACAACAACTAAATAGCGGCGTATGTTATGCCGCGGGCCGGCTCGTTTACATTAATGTCTGACTTTGCTGTCTGACATAGTTATCTGTCCTTACTATCTGACACAGCTATTTGATAAAACTGTCTGTATCTCATGTCAGTCTGACATAAACTTACATAAAAGTCCGTGACAGAGCAGTTTAAAAATGCTGTCTAGCATGAATTTGTAAGCTGTAAAACACATTTTACTTGTATTCGCCCACCTGTCATATCTCTTACACAATCAAATAACTTGCTGACAAACATACCAACACTTTACATGCATACACTATACAAAACATGACAAACACACCTCAATGGCTGTGATAGGTTTTTCTATCACAGGTTGCAACCTATTAAACCTGCAACCTATCTCACTACTTACCGACTCCGGTGCTGAGGTTTTAGACCAGCATCGGACCGGGTGCTTGCAACTCTTTCATTCTTAGAACCGTCTTGACCTTTGTTAACCTTTTAAACCATAAAAAAATAATTAATCAAATTTAAATTTTAAAAAACGAATTCATACATAAATTTACATGGATAAAGCTAATTATTTTATAATCTTAAACATTGGGAGTGGAGAAATCGTAATATTGATGACTGCAAGGATTAATTATTGCCTCGAAGCTTGTACAAGTATAGCCATAGTCGTTCGTGTTCATTACAAAGATTGAGCTCAACTGCATTACTATTTTACACAAACGCTCCGGCAGGATCTTTCGGTGACTTACATAAAGATTATATTTTATTAGCTATCACAGGCATGAACTACTAGTATATTATTATACTTCTGACGAAAAATTATTATAAATTAAAACAGTACGATATGCATTACACAGGCCAGTATTTATTCCAGACTTTTTTCTCCGGGATGGGGGGAGGGGGGGGGGGGAACTTGATATTTTCGGTGGGGGGGGGGGCAGTCAACATTTTCCTGGGGGGGGGGGGGGGAAGGGGGCGGACACTGTTAAAAGTATATGTTTTCCATGTCGTTCGGGGGGGGGGGGCGGTAGACTTTCTTCGGGGCGAGGGGGAGGGGCGAAGAGATGCCTGGAAGAAACCGTGAAACAGGCTGACGGACCAATCTTTGGAAGCGCCAAACGTGAAAAAAATAGCGCTAAACTTTTTAAGAAACTTAAAATCTTCTAGCATCGAGTTTCGTGTCACACATTTGTTTGCAGATTGGACGTGTTGTATTTTTTTTTTAGGCATCTCTGAGACCTTCCCCCACCCCACCCTAGGGGTACGTCCTCCAGCCCCCCCTCCCACAGGACGAAATGGAAACAGCATTTAATATTTTTATTGAAGATACATACTTTAACCAGTGCCCCCCCCCCCCCTCCACATCCTCCACACCATAATTATCATGTGATTTCCTCCCCTGAGTCAAATGTCTGTAAGAAACTCAGCCTGAGGATTGTCAGAACAGAAACAGTAGTGGATACAATATTTGGTTTACATAGCTCAATTAGTCAAGTCAAATTCTTGTGGACTCCAGAAATATTTTCAACACACTTTGCAACCAACGCTTTTATTACTATCACCATAGCCAAATTAAACATGCTTTTTTTTCCTTATTTCTGTGCTTTAAAATATTATTTCGGTGTTTTATTCTTGTGTTATTTTATACTCAAAATTTTAATTAACCAAGGGGGGTAACCTTTTTTGTTCTTTATAAAATTGACTTAATTATATAAAACAATATCATTTTCTAAAACCAAAATTAAAACAGGTTTTTTTCATTAAACAAAATTATTAAAACAAAATAGTGTTTTAAATTTAATTTTGCACTTGTATCAAATTTTTATATACTATTATTAACTTAAATTGAAAACAATAACTTTCGAAATAATAAATATTTATTTAAATGGAAATAAATGGAGGTATTTTATTTGGTACTACAATTCCAATAACTGCATTTCTATTATTGTTAGAATTTTTAATGTAAAACAACATACAACATCTTCTCCAAGATTGTCTTATTATAGAAATTATCGAGAGACTTGAAATTTCAAGTTCTTGTTACAAATCTAAAAACGGCGGGTTGTTATGTCTCCGTCTCAGCTCGTCAAAACTAGGTGCACTCGCAGTCTTGTGATAAATTACCTATTTTCTAAAGATTATATAATCAGTGACTTTGGATTAATTTCATCTCTACTTATTTAAACTCGTGTGTATTTCCATTTGGAACCTTGTGTGTGTGTTATTTTTTTTTCTTCACATTTTATACATTGTAAGTACTTTTTTTATTTCTTGTGTGTGTTGCCTGGCCCCGGGTGGGCCTCACGCACAACTATGTCGGAAAAATACATCAAACGGCTATTCCTGCCTAAGTTCGGCATGGCAGGACATGCGCCAAAAACTCTAGAGATTTTCATAGAAGAGGGTTTTTCTTTAGCTACTCTCACAGCTGACGAACTAAAAAGAGAGCTATGTATGTTATGTAGCCTATCACCAGCTGAATTTGAAGGTCTGTATAACTATGGGACACTGCGTAAATGGTATGTCACCATTAGATCAAAGGAACTATATGAGAAAATGCACCTAAAAGAATTTCACAGAGATTTGCCACCTGGAGTAACATCCAGATACAGAGTGCAGAGAATATCAATAACCCACGCCGATAAATCTGGGCAAAGGGGCATGCTGAAATGGCTGCCTTCCAAGACAAGTGACGATGATATAATGGCGATTCTGAAATCTATAAGCAGTCAGGACTCAACACCAACATTTAAGAGAATAGACCCATCAAATGTGGTCCAATTCACCATCTCTCTGGAGAAAGAAGATGTGGAGAGTGTCCCACACTATATTATACTTACAAATGAGGCCAACAAGGAGAGCAGAGTCCTTATAATCCTCAATGGGAGGAGGATGCAATGTTGCCACTGCAACACAGACAGGCACCTGCCTAAAATGTGTGAGCATTTGAGGACTCGCGCTCTTGACGGCGTCCAGCTAGTAGATGGACAGTACAGGGCAATTGAGCCTTGGGATGCAAATGATAAAGAAGAAGTTAGGGAGCATCTAAGTAACAATAGAAATTTCTTAAAGCATTGGGACAGTTATGATGTTGACGGAGAAAGACAAAATGAAATGCTTAGAGAAGCAAGGCACAGAGAGGTACAAGATGCCTTTGAAGTAGATGGCCAAACTGAAGCACATCATACTACTGTAGCACCGCAGCAAGTTAACGAAAGCGTAACAGAAACCACCATAGAGGCCGAAGCCATGGAGACAATAGCAACCAGGAATTCCATAGTAACCGGGTCTCAAAAAGATGGGAATCACGAAAATTTGGAGGCTGTCGACGAAACAATAACTAATATTCTTCAAGATAACTCTAGTTCAGAAAACATAACGAAACCGCTAAAGGAAATTAAAAGCTCACAAAGTATGTCAGCAACAAAGGTATCAGGTCAACGGTCATATAGTCAAGCAATCAGTTCAAGTAAAAATCAATTACCTACAGTAAAGCCACCTCAAAGGTTCGTGACCAGGGCCCAACGGGATAGCAAACCAACGGCTGGAAGGTTTGGAATTAAAAGACCACCACCATCCAGCCCTCCAGAAACAGATGTTCGAAAGAAAACCCCAAATAATTCATGCTAAATCTGGCAACATTGAACATCAGGGGGGCTAGGGACAAAACACATTATATAAACAACATAATAAATAAACACAATATTGACATCCTACTTTTACAGGAAACTAAAATTGGAACTACAGAAGAAGCAAATAAACTAGATGCATAATTAATATCGACAGTCTCAAGCAAAACATCACTCGATCAGCCCCCAAGTAATTTAACATTAGAACAGTCTTGTGTTTCCCAGGTTTTTAAAAGTGCACAACCTGAATGGTAGAAAGAGATACACACCTCACCCTCCCCCCCCCCCCCCCCACACACACACACTTCCCTCCACTTAACCGGACTGGCGGATTTTTCAAGGTAGCATGCCCTCTTTGCCAAGGGTCAATTTTATGTCATGGAAAGTTTTGGAATGATAGATCAGTAATGTGTATTACAGAGACACTTCTCCCACGGTGGTTTCTATTTCTGTCTACAATGTGAACTTTTGACTCTTCAGCTAAGGACAGAGCACAGTAAACTAAGCAGTCAAGAGAAACCTAGTTTGCACACCTTATTTTAGTCTACTTCTTATGCCATTTTATTTTCTCCATTTGATTATTATATATGCCAGGGGTCTCCAAACTTTTCAGTCCGAGGGCCGCATTAAGTATCAAATTTCAGTTCAGGGGCCAGTTTCTTGCAGGCATGTCTTTGATTTTTCTGGGCAAAGTTCCTCAGCCATCACCAACAAACTTTTTTTCCGTGCACAAAAAGATCTCCGCGGGCCGGATGAGAGGACATCGCGGGCCGCATCCGGCCCGCGGGCCGTAGTTTGGAGACCCCTGATATATGCAATTGATGTTCATGTCTTTGATGCTGTGTAAAATCTATCAAATAAATTATTATTACTGATTTAAAGGTTTAAAACAATTGAATTAATAATAATAAAAAAAAAAAAAAAAAAAAAAAAAAAAAAAAAAAAAAAAAGTTAGAATTTTTAAAAAAATTCCTTCTTTTACAAGCTTTTATTTAACTCACATCTCTGTCCTGTCTGTCCAGATCGAAACGGCCGCGCGAAATTGCAGGCACTTCTTACTGACAGATATGGTTCGTAATTGGTACGTGGGTCAAGACATGAAGACAATGCATCATGACATTCAATTTGACTTAATTGGTCGCCCTAATTTTTTAGCTCCATTCAAACGCGTCATCACGGCAAAAGCGCGTCATCACGTTCAATAGCTGCGCAATGGTTTTTAGTCATGTAACTCTATTGTAAAAGGGATCGAACCCTATCTGCCAGAGGATTTGAACTCGAGACTTTGTCGAATTTATCAACCATGAGCTTTTGCCGACTCTACCACGCCTCCATCACAATTAAGGTTACGTGTCAACTGGTTATGCGCCATTGAGGCAATTGACTCCGATTTCATCCTGCTTTTCTTTTTGGATTTGCTTCCATAGCCTTTGTCCAACCAAGAACAAACTCCAAAGCAGCAGTTGTTTGATTTTGGAGTTGTCTCTCCTGGAAGAGTGGCTATCCCCAGCGAGCCTCATCTGCCCGAGGGTTTGAACTCGAGACCCTTCGGTTTAGCAACCATGAGCTTTACCGACTCGACCACGCCGACCCCTTTGTTTTGAATTGGTCAAATCTCTCAGGGAAACCATCCTTCATTTTGTTTATAGTAATGCTGAAGTAAGTCATGTTAACAGTAGCATTGGTTTCGTCGTGAACAAGTTTTTAGACTTTTCGAAATCAACTAATTTACCGCTGTCCTTGTCTTCAATTTAAAAAAAGTTTTTTTTCGAAACAATCCAATACTTCATGCAAGGCATAGGCTGGGTTTACATTTAGGCCGTTTAGTTTCTTTGTGATATCCATCATGAAGTTGAATGTTTCAATTCGGAATGGACAATTTAATATAAAGTACATTGAAACAGGGAGTAACTAAATATTCTAATAGAATAGCGAGTTTTTATTGTTTATGTTTATTAGTATATCTTTGACTACCGAGCGTTGCAGAACAATATTTGTATGAGTTTTAAAAATAAAATAATTATTGATATTTGTGCATGGAGCTGAAGAGCCACATCTTGATAGAAGAGCCGCATGTGGCTCGCGAGTCGCAGGTTGCCGATCCCTGTACTAAGATAAATTGAAGAAAAAAAATTCCTACCAAATGGATGTCTTACCTGTTTTTCTTGCTCAAAATAAACCTTGTCCTTCTCAAACATGTCTTCTTGGTTCACAAGCTTTGATTGGTCACTATTTTTAGCACTTGCTACAGATGTTGGGATTGGGCGGTAGAAAATGGACACCAAAACGCCATGAAAGATTAATGCCGCCAGGATCCAGTTTGCTGCCAGAAATATTAAAATATTTCTTAGGGTGACAGCGAGTGGTGGGGGGGGGGAGAGGGGATACATAAATCACATTAGAGTTTTAAAAAATGTAAAATACGCATCAATAGACAAGTGAAGTGACCAGATTATGTCGTGCTAATAAGGAGACATTTGGTCTCATACGTTACAAGTGTGGTGACCCCCCCCCCCTCTTAGGTTTCATTGTGATAGTTTATTTGAACACAAATAAAAGTCCCAAAAAAATCTAAGCTCCATGCACTCCATCTAAGCTACATGACTTAGTCAACCTCTAAGCTCCTTATACGCTACATTACTTAGTCAATCTAAGCTCTTTATAGGCTACATGGCCCAGTCAATCTAAGCTCTTTATAGGCTACATGAACCAGTCAATCTAAGCTCTTTATAGGCTACATGGCCCAGTCAATATAAGCTCTTTATAGGCTACATGTCCCAGTCAATCTAAGCTCTTTATAGGTTACATGGCCCAGTCAATCTAAGCTCTTTATAGGTTACATGGCCCAGTCAATCTAAGTTCCTTACACCCCACACGACACAGTCAATCTAAGCTCATTACATCTCCACACACAACTGCTTATTGGGCATAATATAGTAGCTATACACCCCTAATTTTGGAAGAGTCCAAGAGCTTACCTCCACGCCAGCCAAAGGCTTTCAGCAAATACTCCGACAGGGGGGCGAACAAGAAGGCGCCGATTCCAGAGCCGCAGCATGCAATACCAGTCGCCAGCGCCCTCCGTCGGTCAAAATAATATCCCACAATCACAATAGCTGGCAGGTACATCAGACCAAAGCCAATACCTGTTGAGTATATAGTCGGCAGGAACATAAGAAAAAAGGTAATGTCTGTTAAATACAGGTACATAAGACCAAAGTTAATACCTGTTAATTACAGGTATATCAGAAAAAGGCAATATATGTTAATTACAGGTTCATCAGAAAAAGGCAACACCTGTTAAATACAGGTATATCAGAAAAATGCAATATCTGTTAAATACACGCACATAAGAAAAAGGCAATATCTGTTAAATACACGCACATCAGAAAAAGGCAATATCTGTTAAATACAGGAATATCAGACCAAAGCCAATACCTGTTAACTATATTATGGGCAGATATATCAGACTAAAGGCAATACCTGTTAATACAACTTTTACCATCAATGCTTACTTTGTTCTAAATTATAACTCTAAACATTACTGCTGGGACGGCGTGGTCACGAGGTAGTGTCCTCATTTGTTAAATTAAAAGACTCAGGTTCGGTTCACTCACTGAAGTCCGTATAACTTCACAGAGTCAAAGAGTACCTGACATTTGTAATCTTTATATGACAAGGTATTAAAAACAAGTCAGCTCTATTTCACCTGCAATATGGACACAGCGAAGAGAATATATTTTACTTACTTTACCTGTGCGTAAAGTTCCCTTTACCTTACGATCTATTGGGCAAGTTCACTTGTTTCTGTCACCTCGACATATGAAGCACTATGCCAAGCCACCTTTACTTTCCCTAACGTGAGTTAGGTACCCATCAGAGTTGGGTGGACTCAGTGACGGTCGACTAACTTGAACCAGATTCGAACTCGAGACTTGCAGGTTAGCAGTCCAGCTCTCTACCGCTATACCACTCCGTCCCCTACCCTGTACTATACCTGTCGAATTATCTTAAGACTAAAAAAACTAATTACCTCCTAGGAATCCGTATGTGAAGATGAAAACGCCGATGTTGGGAGAGAAGGTGCTGATGAACAGAGCGATAAAAGCAACGACAGCGCCGCTCATGGCGATGGAGCGACAACCCCAGATGTTGACAAGGGCGCTAATCACTGGGCCTGTAGGGGAGATCACGCGTTATGAACATCACTAGCAGTCATACAATTTTACGACATATTAATAATATTATTACAACAAATACATTGATTACATTCCTTTCGTTTGAAACAACATATTGGCTAAGCTAGATTTTCTAAATGCAAGGATAATTTCAATAATCTAGCATACTTTATAATAGATCAGAAGAAAATAGTACAGGCAAATCATACAGGCTTTAGCAAGTTCTGATTATAATAAGTTCGCCACGCCTTGACTAGCAGTAGTTCAACTCCAATTTCTTTTAGGAGTACTTCAGATTCTTCGAACCCAAAACATGGCTTTAAATCCATCAATCAGGGTCGGTGCAACAAACTCCCCAGTCAGACTTTAACGTAAGACTTGAACCACAAAACCAACAATGTTTTTACAATACTATTACTTATGAAAAGTAAGATCGAGGTGGGGGGAGGGGGGGGGGGGGGGAGGAGGGAGACAAATATATCATCAAACCCAAGATTTTGAAAACAATCCTAGCTTTTAGATTTCTTAAACGCGCCACCAGGCAGGAATTCCTTCTTACAGGTGTATCTAATTTAAGTGTCAACAATCCTTTCTCACAGGTGTATCTAGCTTAAGACTCAACAATCTCTTCGTACAGGTGTATCTAATTTAAGTGTCAACAATCCCTTCTTACAGGTGTATCTAACTTAAGTGTCAACAATCCCTTCTTACAGGTGTATCTAATTTAAGTGTCAACAATCCTTTCTCACAGGTGTATCTAGCTTAAGACTCAACAATCTCTTCGTACAGGTGTATCTAATTTAAGTGTCAACAATCCTTTCTCACAGGTGTATCTAATTTAAGTGTCAACAAACCTTTCTCACAGGTGTATCTAATTAGTGTAAACAGTTCCTTCTTACAGGTGTATCTAACTTTAGACAGTGTCAACAGTCCTCTCTTACAGGTGTATCTAACTTAAAACTCAATATTCCCTTCTTACATGTGTATCCAGAGACGTGGCGACCCTTCTCGGCGCCAGGGGACACACTTTCAATTTGGCGCCCCCCCCCCCTCCATATATTTTTTTATATTTATAATGCAAAACTGCAGCTAAAATGAGCTTATAATTTTTTTTCAACCCATTTTGGCGCCCCCCCCCCCTAGGATCGGCGTCCGGGGACATATGTACCCCAGCCCCCTCCCCTCGGTACGCCTCTGGGTATATCTAACTTCAGACAGTATCAACAGTACCTTATTATAGGTGTATCTAACTTAAGACAGTGCCAACATTCCCTTGTTACATGTCTATCTAACAACCCCACCCCCCACTCACCGAAGATGAGGTAAGAACCATTCATGACCGACCCAATCCAAGACGTCTCGCCTTTCCCCGTGCCGAACTCCCTCTGAAACTCCTCGAAGAAGATCCCAAACGAGAAGCAGACGCCGTCGACTAGCAGACTGATGGTGAAGGACGAGATGACGACCACCCAGCCCCACCCCCCATCAGGGGGCGGTGTCCGTGTCTGGTTTGTGTTGACCTCGGGTTGTGTGACGTCATTGTCTGTGTTTGAAGTATTGGATGCTGGGGCTTTTTCACTGGCGCCTCCCATTTCTTGAAAGAAAATGATTAGTTGAGTTTTAATTAACGTCCTTTATTCATATATTTTTCTTTTAGCAATTAACTTTGTGAGCAGTACAGAGTGTATATTTTAAATTTTATTGGTTCAAAGAAATGTTACTTTAAAAAAAAAGTTAATACAGATTTTTAATCCTTGTGTAGATCTAAGACAATTGCTATCATATTTAGAATCTGAGTTAAGACAATGTGACGTCGCTAACAGATTTAGAACCTTTGTGTAGATTTAAGACAATAGTACATAGCTAAGTGATTTATAGCCCTTGAATTGGGCTAAGGCAATAGGATGTCGCTTACAGATTTATAGCCCGTGAGTAGAACTAAAACAAAGGGGCCTCGCTAACAGTTTTGTTCCCTTGAATAGAACTGATGCAATGGGGCCTCACTAAGATTTTTAGAACCCTTGAATTGAGCTAAAACAATGGGACCTCACTAACAGATTCAAAACCCTTGAGCTAATACAAAGGGACCTCATTAACAGATTTAGAACCCTTGTGTAGAACTAAAACAATGGGACGTCACTAACAGATTTAGAACCCTTTAATTAAGCTAAGACAATGGGATCTCACTAACAGATTTAGAACCCTTGAATTGAGCTAAAACAATGGGACCTCACTAACAGATTTAGAACCCTTGAATTGAGCTAAAGCAATGGGACCTCACTAACAGATTTAGAACCCTTTTGTAGAAGTAAAACAATGTGACCTCACTAACAGATTTAGAACCCTTTTGTAGAACTAAAACAATGGGACCTCACTAACAGATTTAGAACCCTTGAATTGAGCTAAAACAATGGGACCTCACTAACAGATTTAGAACCCTTGAATTGAACTAAAACAATGGGACCTCACTAAAAGATTTCGAATCCTTGAGTAGAACTAAAACAATGGGACGTCACTAACAGATTTAGAACCCTTGAACTAAAACAATGGGATCTCACTAACAGATTTAGAACCCTTGAGCTAAAACAATGGGACCTCACTAACATGCTTTAACACTCGCGTCCCTCATGTTTGAAGCGTGACCAGGTTTCTAGGTCACGTGAGATCAGCTGTACCCAATCACACACCGCGGTGCAAGCAGGTTCACGGAGTTATCACCCGTGGTTATCTCCCTTTTTATTATCGCCCTTAATTTATCGATGGTTATCTCTCATTGATTTATCACCTGGTATCTTCTTACATTCTTTTTGGTCCCGGATTATTTTATGACATAACGACGTGATAGAGATCTTGTGTTCTAAAACTTTCACGCTGTTTTCTTTCCGAAACTTTGTACTGGTATGTTTTCTTTCCGAAACTTTGTACGGGATCACTTTTGAATCCTGCACTAAAAATGCCTTTCTCAAAGCGACGTAGTTAGGCGTTAGGGTACTGTCAGGAATGTCCTTCCCCTTACGGTAACAATGTAGGTGCACATTGCGAAATGCGTGCACTGAACATAGTGACAACTTTCCGATTAAGGTAGTAGTTAATCTAGAAATGTCCAAATTAACCGAGAATTTAATATGGCGTGTCCAGTTGCGTAAAATAAGTTCCATTTTCATACCTGACGTTTCAAAGAGCAGATGAAGTAGAGTTTGTGTTTCTTGACCTTGCCTGGATTCCGGGGGAACATTATGTCGAGCCGCCTTTACTTTCCCCAAAGAATGTCAGGTACACATTAAAGCTGGATGAACTCAGGGACGACATGTAGACTCAAGTTCCACATTCGAACTCGAGTCTTTCTGGGTAGCAGTCGAGCGCTTTACCACCCAACCACACCGTCCCATCAAGTTGAATTCCTTAACTAATTATAGCTATATTGATTATTAATTGCATAAGACAGCAGCCAGGATAATGGATGACACCTCATTTATCTTAGAGTTTAGTACTAGTAAGTCTAAGACACTTCATTACCTTACCAGTAGTCATTAACCCTAATTACGCCGCTGTTCAAAAATACATTGAAAAATTAGCAAGAATATCTTACTATCAGCCTCTTTTAGTTCCAGGATCTGTCTAAAGTTTAAGCAATCGCACACGTCTTATATAGGCCTAACACCAAATGATATAGCGTGGTCAGAGTTTCAGGCATCTCTTCGGGGGTGAGGGGGGGGGGGGGGTCCGCAATCCCGAAGAAAGTCTCCCCCCCCCTCCCCGAACACGAAATGGAACACATAGAAAACATATACATTTACACCAGTGCCTGTCCCCCCAAAAAATGTAGTCCGCCCCCCCCCCTTCTTCGAAAATATATTTAAAAAAAACCTCCTCATCCCGCCCCGTCGAATTTGGATTTTATTTATATTTTTTTTCCACAAAAATTCTGCTTTCAAAAAACTTTGCATAAGAACATAACATCACTAAGTATAATATGTTACAATTTTTGTATAATACCATACATGCATGGTCCACATAGAACTAACACAATCCGATATCGATATACAATACGTGCAAGTCTGCAAATATCGAATCCTAAGTTCATTGAACCTAAGTGCACTCTTAAGGGACATAAAGCAATTTCAAGCGAGATAGCATGACGATTCATATTACAGCAAGAGAAGACAAAGTTCTGATCGTACATGAACTAGCAGAGTGCTAATTGTTATCGATATTGATAAACAAAGCGTCATCGATTACAATCGATACTGAGTCACTAATCAGACGAGTGTCGTCTGCACGGTGACCTTACCGTGACCCCCACGTGACCCGACGGAGTGAAAATTTTCCATTCAGCGGAAAGTTGTTGTGGGCTGTTTTAAGGCACACCCCCTCCCCTACTGGAAGAAGAATTGTTGTGGGCTGTTTTAAGGCACCCCCCCCAACCACCACCACAAACTGGAAGCATAATTTGTTGTGGGCTGCCCCCCCCCTCCACCCGGCCGCAGAATTTGTTGTGGGCTGTTTTAAAGCATTCCTTCCCCCACCCCACCCATGGGTAAAATGAGGTAAAAAATGGGAGGGGGCGAGGTGGAGGCGAGTGGGTGGGGTAGAGGTGGGGGTCAAAATGGGGGAGGAGGTGGGGGTGGGTATGGCGTAGAGATGGAGGTGGGGTTGAAATGGGTGTGGAGATGGGGTTGGGGTGGAAATGGGGTGGAAATGGTGATAGAGAATTGGGGGTGGAGGTGGAGGAGTTGGTGGGGTGGGGTGGATTTGGAATACATTACATCAACGTCGCAAACCTAAGTTAATAAAGAAGAAACTTTATTTAAGATTAAGAAGGGTATCGCCAATAAGGTAATTAAAATAAAAACGATTTAAAAAATCAAACAGCTAGTTACCAGTGTTTCTTCCAGACTTTTTTCTCCGGGGGGGCACTTGAAATCTTCGGGGGGGCGGTAAACTTTCTTCGGGGGGGCGGACACTGTTAAAAGTATATATTTTCTATATAAATTATATAAATTTTATTTCGTTCGGGGGGGCGGTAAAAAATTTTCGGGGGGGCTTCGCCCCCCCGAAGAGATGCCTGGAAGAAACTCTGCTAGTTACCTTGTTACAACTTGTGCACTGGCGAAGACAATTATGCGAAACATCCAGTGTACATTACATACGAACAACCTTTACTACTATCCTCATCACAAAATTTGATCTCACACTTTAGTGGTCGTGAATTTAAATTTTCATAAATTATGTAAAAACTTTTATCTTTCCCTATTTTAGAACCCACTTAAAATGTAAGCGCTTTAATCCATAGAATTGTAGAATACCCGACTGCAATGAATTTATAAAACTATGTCTAAATTTGTTTAGGTCTACACAACAAACATCCATCGATCAATCACTGAACCTGTGTTTCAAGCTTTCGCTACCAGGTAATTGTAACACCTGTATAACACACCTGGTATCAAATTTCTACCTGCAAGACATTCACCCTTACAAGGATTCCCTTACATTTTCCGAGAATAAAAATTTGTAATTGAAAAGTTTTAAGAAAATTGTGACGACCATTGTAATGTTGATGATATTCCCGATGGTTCATTTCTATAAATAGCACATCAAAATGATGCAATAATTGCGCAATGAAATTCTCAAAAAATCAATGTGAAATGAGTGTAATCTAAAGGATTTTTAATTAGTAATGGGCGGGGTAGGGGAGGGATGTTTAGGGCTAGATCTTACTTTCGTACTTTGCCATTTTGTAGCTATTTCATCTAAGTAGGACCCTGAACTGCAAAGTGGGGGGGGGGGGGGGGGGGGGCACCGAACGAGAAATACTCTTTCTTAAACTGGTAAATCAGAAACCAGTTTTCAAATTCTGACGATGAATAGCACAATCCCCTTCTTTCTCCCCCCCCCCCCCCCCATCTCCTCCAAACGAGTTTGATATAATTCACCCATATCAAACGTACCAAACCTCAGTTTCTGGTTAAAAAGAGAGAAGAAAAGTTAAGAGAAAAATACTACACAGATGCGAGTATCGAAAGGTAATTCGTGTGAAGATTAGAAAATTGTATACTTGTGAATAATTACAAAGAGAGTTAATTAAATGATACATGAAGCGCAGAGGCGTAGCGACCCTTCCCGGCGCCCGGGGACAAACTTTCAATTTGGCGCCCCCCATCGGGAGCAAATTTTCAATTTGCACCCACCCTTTTCAACTTTTCGATTTGCATCCCCCTCAACTTTTCGATTTGCACCCACCCCCCCCCCCCCCCCCTCAAACTGCAAAAATGCAGCTAAGTTGACATTTTAATTTGTTTTTACAACCCATTTTGGCGCCCCCTAAGGTCGGCGCCCGGGGACATATGTCCCCCCCCCCCTGCCCCCCCCCCCCCTCTTTGCTACGCCTCTGATGAAGAAAGTTTTTAAAAATGTTCTTTTAAGATCGAGTCTTGTTAGCGCTAGAAAGTCAAAAGAACAATCCTTTTTTTTTTGTTTCGATAATTTTCACCATTTCTCAATTAGACCAATCATCCTATCCCTGTTGTACAAGTCCTATCACAATAAAGATTGTCATGGTGTCTCTACCACGGTCACGTACCTACTTAACCTTTTAACTGACACACTGATATTGTAATTAGATTCCTATACACGATGGAAGTTTGTGCAATACTATGTAGAATGAATCACTATATATGACTATGTAAAATTAAGATTGAACAGCACTATATACGGTAATGGAAAATAGAATAACACTATATAGATCAATGACGAATGAATCACTATATATGACTATGTAAGATTACTATGTAAGAAAAAAATTTCATTTGTTTGAATGCAGCTTTATAGGACTAGTATGAATCAGAACTAAAAAATGAAGTTCAGTTCGTTTTTTTTTTTAAACTAGGGCCTACTACTAGTTTTTGTTAGTGTTTAGTTTAGATCGGATATTTGATCGATATTCTTGACGGATTAGAAATATCGTTTGGTAGGTCTACCTACACTATTAAGGAAATGTATCCCCTTTTAGACAAAATACGTAAAAGAAAAAAAAATTAGACAAAGAAGGTCTAAATTTAATGCTGATATCAGTTTAGTCAACACTAAAGGAAAACAGCTTTTCTTTACCCCTGTCGTCATTTTATTTTCGAGTCATAATAAAGTGGGAATGCACTTTCCCATTATTATTATATATATATATATATATATATATATATATATATATATATATATATATATATATATATATATATATATATATATATATATATGTGTGTGTGTGTGTGTGTATGTGTGTATGTATTTATAAGCAGCAAGTGTACTTTATAGAAACATACATGGCGGAGGTTATAAAATTCATCTAAACCCTCTTAATATTAATCTTTAGGCCTACACTAAAATAAAAAGAAATGTTTCAATTTTATTTTTACTTTAAATAAAACGTTTAAGTTTCCAGAAATTACATCATATGGTGTCGATACAGTTTACCTAAACATTATTAAAAAATTAAATAAAAATAAAAATTAATGACATTGTGTAAAACTTTTAATATTAATACACTACTATATTATCAATATTATTATATATTTTTATATAACCTTGTAGTCAGTGCAACGTTGTTTACAATTAATGTGTTTGCAACTTTAATGAAGACCAATAGTCAAAACATTATTTTAAAAAATAATTAATTTAGGTGTTTAAAATAATTTTTCGCTAGTAATGAAAACAGGTACTAAACCAGAGCCTACCTTATCACAGCCGACCCTTCGATTATCCAAGTGAGAATGCTAGGCCTAATTTGTAGCGGTCACAAAAGTAGGCTTAGTCGTACAAGGTGTTGGTCTACATAACACAGGTCATTGCTGTCGCTGTTATCGTATGTATGTCGTTTCATATGTTGTATGTCTATGTCGTATGTTTCTAGTTATCATATGCTGTATGTATATGTAGTCTGGTTCACATTTTTGAATGTTGTATGTCTATGTAGTATGGTTCTAGCTATCATATGTTGTATGTCTATGTCGTACGGTCCTAGCTATCATATGCTGTATGTATATGTAGTATGGTTCAAATTTTTTATGGTTGTATGTCTATGTAGTATGGTTCTAGTTATCATATGTTGTATGTCTATGTCGTATGGTCATAGTAATCATAAAATGTTGTATGTCAATGTCGTATCGTTCTAGCTATCATTTGTTGTATGTCTGTGTAGTATGGTTCAAATTGTTGAATGTTGTATGTCTATGTCGTATAGCTCTAGTTATCATATGTTGTATGTCTATGATGTATGGTTATAGTTATTAATATATGTTGTATGTCTATGCCGTATGGTACTAGTTATTATATGCTGTATGTATGTAGTATGGTTCAAATTGTTGAATGTTGTATGTCTATGTAGTATGGTCCTAGTTATCGTATGTTGTATGTCTATGTAGATTGGTCATAGCAAGCATATGTTGCATGTCTATGTTGTGTGGTCCTAGTTATCATATGTTGCCTGTTTTGTAGTATAGTCCTAGTTAATATAATGTGTATGTCTATATGATATGGTTCATATTGATGAATATTGTATGTCCATGTAATATTAAGCCAGGTATGTTATATGTCTATGTGCTATAGTTCAATGTTGTTATTATATGTATGTCTATGATTATACCTCGTATGTTATATGTGTATATGATTTAGTCATGGTTAACAAAATGTGCTTTGATCACTGTTAAGATATGTTGTATATCTATGTGATTTTGTCATTGTTTTCATATGTTTCATGTGTATGTGTGTTGATCTGTCTTTATCTGTTGTATGATGTTCTCCAATGCATTTGGTTCCATTTAACATATGTTGTATGTCTATGCTATCTGACCCCAGATATTGTATGTTGTATGTGGTTTAGACTCCGTTATTGTATCTTATAAGACTATCTGTATTGGTCTAGGTATCTCAGTTGTATGTGGTTAGGTCTTAGTTATCATATGTTATATGCGTTATGTGATTTGGATGTGGTTAGGTTGTGTGCCTATGTGAATTGATCTAGTTATAATAAATATGTCTTATGTGTATGTGTTTTTGTACCAAGTATCGTATGTTTTATGTGCTTGTAATCGTGTAACAGTTATCGTATATTGTATGCGTATGTAATCTTCTCTAAATTATCGTATAATGTATGTTTACTTGATCTTGTACTAATTATAGTAAGTTATCGTATGTCTAATGTGTGTTTGTGATCTTGTACCAGTTATTGTATGTTGTAGAATTTGTAGGTGATCTTGTACCAGCTATCATAGCCTGTGTGCCTATGTGACTTGATTCAGTTATCGTAGGTTTTATTGTATGTTGTCTTTATATGTGAACTTGTCCGTTATCGTATTTTGTATGTGCATGTGATTTTGTACCAGTTATTGTATGTTGTCTGTATATGTGAACTAGTACGTTATCGTATGTTGTATGTGCATGTGATTTTGTACCAGTTATTGTATGTTGCCTGTATATGTGAACTAGTACGTTATCGTATGTTGTATGTGCATGTGATTTTGTACCAGTTATTGTATGTTGTCTGTATATGTGAACTAGTACGTTATCGTATGTTGTATGTGCATGTGATTTTGTACCAGTTATTGTATGTTGCCTGTATATGTGAACTAGTACGTTATCGTATGTTGTATGTGCATGTGATTTTGTACCAGTTATTGTATGTTGCCTGTATGTGTGAACTAGTACGTTATCGTATGTTGTATGTGCATGTGATTTTGTACCAGTTATTGTATGTTGCCTGTATATGTGAACTAGTACGTTATCGTATGTTGTATGTGCATGTGATTTTGTACCAGTTATTGTATGTTGCCTGTATATGTGAACTAGTACGTTATCGTATGTTGTATGTGCATGTGATTTTGTACCAGTTATTGTATGTTGCCTGTATATGTGAACTAGTACGTTATCGAATGTTGTATGTGCATGTGATTTTGTACCATGTATTGTATGTTGCCTGTATATGTGAACTTGTACGTTATCGTATGTTGTATGTGTATGTGATTTAGTACCAGTTATTGTATGTTTTCTGTATATGTGAACTAGTACGTTATCGAATGTTGTATGTGCATGTGATTTTGTACCATGTATTGTATGTTGCCTGTATATGTGAACTTGTATGTTATCGTATGTTGTATGTGCATGTGATTTTGTACCAGTTATTGTATGTCGTCTGTATATGTGAACTAGTACGTTATCGTATGTTGTATATGCATATGATTTTGTACCAGTTATTGTATGTTCCCTGTATATGTGAACTAGTACGTTATCGTATGTTGTATGTGTATGCGCCCTGATCCCTTTTAACTAGGGCTTCATGCCGACTGCCCAAACGAAATGTGACCTAGCTATTTCGGGTCACGTCATTCACTTATCAGACGACAATACCTGGACACATGCATTCTTGTGACGTCAGACGAGCAAGAAATTTAGGGTTCGGGGTTTGAAATCAACAGGGGGTTGCGGGTTCGAACCCTGGTTGGTTCTATGTGAAACAATCAAAGTCGGATGTACCCAGAGAGGAGTCCTTCATGCTTGTCTGCTTATATATCAAGTCGATTCGTCGACAGATCTCTCTAAAAAAAAACTCTGCTTCCTGTTTAATTGTTAACGCCCCATTTTTATTAAAAAAAATTGTCAAACCGAATCGAAAGATCAAGCGTTATAATACAATTTTGGGGCATGTTTTAATAAGAGAATATTTAAAGGAAAGGGTTATTCTAAAGCAGGGGCGTAGCGAGGGGGGGCGGGGGGTGCGGACCGCACTGGGTGACACCATTTAGGGGGGGGGGGTGACACCAAGGCAAAAAATAGCAAAATATATAGAGAAAAACTTGAATGGGGGGGGGGTGCAAATCGAAAGTTTGAGGGGGGGGGGGGGGGGGGGTGTGCAAATCGAAAACTTGAAAGTTTGTCCCCGGGAAGGGTCGCAACGCCTCTGGGGGGGGGTGACACCATTAAGTGCCGCACCGGGTGACACCCGCCCTCGCTACGCCACTGTTCTAAAGTACTATTTAGAATGTATGAAGAATTCGTTATGGCATTGCCTATATCTTCGGTTTACGAAAAGGTAGACAGCCTGATTAGATTGTTTAGTGCATGGTAAGATTAAAAATTTAATAGAATCATGCAATATAGCATTGTAAAGATATCAATAAATATGTAAGGAAAATATACAGATATTTGTAAGTATAAACATGCTTTAAATAAAAAAAAAAATTTTTAATCTATTGTTATATATATATGTGTGTGTGTGTGTGTGTGGTGTGTGTGTGTGTGTGTGTGTGTGTGTGTGTGTGTGTGTGTGTGTGAAAGTGTGTGTATGTTTGTAAATTCAACAAATTAATAAAATAATGTATTACAATAAGTTAAAACACAATGCCTAAAACACATTTTGAGCTTGTAATGTTAATTGGTGTTAGTTGCTTTCATTTTAATTTAATTTGTGTAACTATGGGAGTTAACCGTAAGCTCTTAGTCAAATAGAAAATTATTAACATAATTGACCAAAATAAATTGAAAGCAAATAGTATTTAACTTGTTTTTTACATGTGATAATATTCAATTTATATGAATATTAATTAAATAATTTAAATTTTTTAGAATAGATTTGTTTTGTGAATAGTTAAGATAAAGAAAAAACTTTCCGTTTTATGTAACTAATGTTTTATAAACAAAATAAAAATGTCAATGTTTTTAATTTTATCAACTATTCCATTTTAATTTACGTGTTTCTAAAGAATTAATAAATTCACTTGCTCCATAGACCAGGGGTCGGCAACCTGCGGCTCGCGAGCCGCATGCGGCTCTTTAGCTGCCAAGATGCGGCTCTCCAGCTCCTTGAACAAATACTAATAATCTTAATAAAAACATAAAATATTTGTAATAAAAAAAAATGTTAGTGGCTCTTTAAAATTAGGGAAATTTTGAAAATTGTAACTTTTGGCTCTTCCGCTTCAAAAGGTTGCCGACCCCTGCCATAGACCTTCAGGTTTAAAAGCGAAACTTTACTTTACATCAACATCAAATTCTTTACACCATTTCAAACATCAAAAATGGAAAGAAAAAAAAAAATTCCCCGAAAATTTGAATTTATCGACTTTATTTCGTGTAACACATTCAAGCTGATTTTGCAGTGATCTTAGTCATTTGGTTGGTCAACCCTTTTTAGGGCTGGCTGCCGGGGTCGAGAGGCGGTCAATCTACTACTCAACTCATCAAGCAATCAATTTCAAATCTCGCCATCGATCGCTGTGGGGTTGCGCCCACACATCCCTCGAAGTGCACCATTCCCTCAAGATGAGTCACCCAGTACTTGTATTGTGTGGCTTCAAATGTACAAGTGGCTAATTTTCAGTTTTCAATTTTCTATTTTTTTAGCTTGACGACACCCACCTAGGAGAAATCATAGGTGGGAGGTTCCGTCACAATTTCCAGCAAATCAACTCATCTCTCAAAGATCAACTACGCAAAACTTCGATACACAAATACCTCGTTATCAACAACCTCACAATCACTCTGACGACACCCACCTAGGAGAAATCTTAGGCGGGAGGTTTGGTCACAAACACCATCAAATCAACTCAACATGTCTCAAAGATCAAGTACTCAAAACTTCCTCATTTACGTCACGCAATTAGCTCGATACCAACAACTTCACGATTACTCAACTCTCGTAAAATAAACACTCGTCAACAGAATTACTTCGCCCATTTCAAGTACTCAACCAAGCATTCTTCTTTTCTTCTTCTTC